TTCAGCAGGCACGTGGCAGTCCCCCTTAGGCTTTCGCTTCCATTGTCCCATGCTCTTGTCGAAGCCCCCACCCCCCACCCCCCACCCCCCTGGGTGCATACCTGTGTGTGCCTGAGTGTACCTGCGTGTCTGCGATGATTTGCCCTTTGACTTTTTCTTCTCAGGGACGCAGTGTGGGAGGGTCTTCAGGACCATACCTCTGGGGTCACCGTGGGCACCCCCCCCCCACTGTGCTTCTCTTCCCCTCCCCTGCAGTGCCTAGAACCTTAAACTCCTCTGGGTGGGACACTTTTCCATCTGTTCTTTGGTGCCAGGGGAGAAGGTTGTTCTTATGGGGGACCCTGGACTTGGCTCCCCTGCACGGCCACTGGGCACAGACCTGCTGGCATGCTGGGGCCTGCCCTGCCTGCTCTTGCTCTCCTCCTCCTCCCCTGCCCCTGCTGTGCAAGAGGGCCCCAACACCCTGACCTCCCCCTTCCCTGCGTCCCCCTTCCTCACAGGTGGACACGATCCTCTTTGCCGAGTTCCAGGCATGGAGGGAGTCCCCCAGCCTGGACAGGACCAGCCCCTTCATGGACAGGGTGTACCGGGAGGATGTGGGGCCCTGCCTGGACTTCACCACTCAGGAGGTGAGCTGGCACGGCAGGCCGGCGGGGGCTCAGGCCGGCTGCCAGTGCCCAGCCCCTCACGGTCCCACCTGTGCCCCGTCTGTTGCAGCTCTCGGCACTGGTGCGGGCAGCCGTGGAGGACAACACACTCACTATTGAGCCCGTGGCCTCACAGACGCTGCCCATGGTGAAGTTGGCCGAAGCCCAGAGTGGCAGCACCAAGTAAGCTTAGCACCCTCTGCCCGTCCCTGCCCCCTGGGGACGGCTCGCTGTGTCAGGGTGGCCAGGGAGGACGGCGCGTCGGGCTGGAGGCCTGGCCCTGGGAGTGTGGACGCGCCTCTCCCACGCAGAGCAAGGATGGTCTTAGGCAGTCCGCATCCAGTCATGGGGAGCCCTGGCTCTTGGGGAGTCCAGGTGGGGGTCCCCGCTCTCTGGACGTTCCCCGCCCCTTCTGCTCCCCCTGCAGTAGGTTCTGGGCCCCTGAGACAGAGAAGGGAAGGCAGATGCTGGCTCTGCCTCTTGCCCGGAAAGCTCACCTTGTGTTTGCCCGGGCGGCGCGGGGAGGGCGGGGGAGCGGGCAGAGCAAGAGACTGGCCCAGGGAGTACGGGCCTCTTCTTAGCAGCCAGGATCGAACTCGGAAGGGTGGGCACCATGCCGGGACCCTCCTCGCAGAGAGGGTAACCGGGGTCTAGAGGGGGAGGGGCAACTGGCCTTGCAGGACTCGGGGACAGGTGGCAAGGTGTGAGAAGCCAGAGGGTACTGGAGAGGCCACCGGCCAGGGGGAGGAGCGGTGGCGTGGGTAGGGAGTTGGGACTGAGGCTGCAGGAGGTGTTTGGGGCCAGTGGATAAGGAGCCTCCAATGAGCTGGGGGCTTTAGCTCTCAGCCTGGGGGCTCTGACAAGGGGACCACTGGCCACAGCAGGGCAGCTTGGTGGTCCTTCCATAGGAGGCCTGTGTCAGCTCCTCCCCTGGAGCCTCTGGGTTAGGTCCGGGGACAGTGCTACCCAGCAGTGGCCCTTGGTGAAGGAGCGGGGAGTGATGGCGGCCGAGGGGCTGCTTGGGGAGCTGAGGTCTTTGTGGCAGAAGCCCGGGACTGTGCCGCGGATGGCGGTCCAGTGGAGAGAGTGGGTTCGTGTCACCTGTAGGACCAGGGACCAGTGGAGGGCCAGGGGTGGGGGGATGGGGGCATCTTCCAGGCCACATGAGCAGCTGAAGACATGCGTGGGGTCCCAGGCCTGGGGCGAGGTAGCCCAGTGAGGGGCTCCTGGTGGGCCTGGTTGGCAGGCAGAGTGGGAGGCCAGATGGACACAGCAGCTGAATGCCTTGGGGCCTGGGAGCGGAGGCTTTCTGGGGCTGAAGGATGACTGAGGCTGAGGTGGGGGAACTAGGGTTTCAGGGGCTGCTGACTGGGGCTTAGTGCACTTGCCAGGAAGTTGGCTAAGCTGTTGTGCCCAAGAGGCCTGAGGAGAGGGGCCTAGGGATGAGGTCCTATCCTGGGTCCTGAGGCTGCCCGCCACACTGATCTGGCCTGGGGGCACTCTGTGAGATCCTGGGCAGGGGCTGGGGGGCGGGGGGGCATGTGCCAGGCGCAGACCCCAGCTCTTCCCCGGCTGAGCCCCTACCCACGGCCTGCCTCTGCTTCCCTGACAGCACGTGTGCCCTAAGCGGGCTGGCCCGCGCCTGCCGCCACCGCATCCGGCTGGGTGACTCCAAGAGTCACTACTACATCTCGCCGTCCTCCCGGGCCAGGGTGAGTGGTGCGGTTCGGCGGGGCGTTGCGTGGCTCCTTAGGGTCCACTTGCTGGGGACATCACGGGGACGAGGGCTGGGTCTACAGAGCATGGCACCAGCTCAGAGGACAGGGCTGGGCGGATGGGCCATGCAGCTTGCCTGGTGTGTGCATTTCTACTTAAAGAAAAAATTCACTGCCGCCAGGTCGGTGCTGGCGGAGAATGGCCCTGGGAGTGTCTGAGGCTGGCACTTTTTATTATGTTTTTTTTTTTAAATCATCTTATTGGGGGCTCATATAGGTCTTATCACAATCCATATATCCACGGTATCAAGCACAATGGAACCTGTGTTGCCATCATCCTTTTCAAAATATTTTCTTTCTGCTTGAGCCCTTGGTATCAGCTCCCCCCTCCCCCGTGAGCCCCTTGATAAATTATCAATGATCTCACACCGTCTGCCTTGGCTGTGACTCTCTACTGGAGTAGAAAGCTCCCTCTTTCTCTGACAAGAGTGTCTGGTGGTTTTGAACTGCTGACTGA